ATTAAATTAGTCATCGATTATTTTAATAATCGATTAGTCGTCGATTAATCGTTTAATCATGGCAGCCCTAGTTCGGAGCGCTGATTCACAGCACCCAAAACTCGTGAGACTGCTTTCCTCTGACCTTCATTCTAACTCCGGCAGAAGCGGTGGAGGTGGGAGGCGGGAGGAGTTTACATTCCTGAACGCGCTCCCTTCGCTCTCCTCCTCCCACCTCCACCGCTTCTGCCGGAGTTAGAATGAAGCTCAGCGAGCTCCCGACCGAAGCGCAACCTTGCTCTAACAGCTGACGACAGCTGTCATCAGCTGTTAGAGCAAGGTTGTGCTTCGCGGGCACCTGGGAATCAGCTGGCGGGTGACCAGTCGCCCGCGAGCGACTGGTTGGGCACCCCTGATTTAAGGCCCTGTCATACTATGACGTTTTAGACAACTTATGCCAACTTGTGAAAATTTTAAAGACATCTATGTTGAAGATGGAATTGAAAAAAATCAACTGGAAGCTTTTTTTTTTAGCTGTACACATACTGTAATTCTAACAAATGTATCAAATATACAACTTTTATTAGCAATTTAGACATAAAAAGTGTTTCATAAGCTGACATAATTTGTCTAATGTGACAGGGCCTCTAGCAGCAGCTTGCGTTCAGAAGACTTGTCCTGTTGGATTGGATCTTTATCTGTCTCCATGATGGTGCCACATGCAGTGCCAATAGAAAGTATTCACCACTGTGGGTGTTTCAAGCTTTTATTACGTCAACACTTTCAGTCAAAAACAAGCATTTTCACAGAATGCCCCTCAAATTCAAAATTCAGGCTCAGTGTTGAATCTATTTATTACAAACCCATTTTCATCGACAGCCACATGAGCATTATGGTGACCCTCAAAGAGACAGTTTTAACTAACTTTGACGTTTCGTGTTTAACTACGACGTTCCTCATCTCATTGATACGACTGAGCACCAACAAACCAAACACTGTTTCTATGCAGGAAATACCACAGAGCTCAGTTGTTTGACACATCCTCTTTTGGGAGATGAAATTTATTGCCAAGGCTGGCTTTAAAGCACCTTTTTAAAGACATAATACATCTTTGAAGCTCTTGTGGGCCACAAAAGATGCTGTGGCGGGCCACATTTGGCCTGCAGGCCTTGAATTTGACACGTGCCCTAAAATATGAAGTAAAAATACTCTTAGTTTTTGTTCAATAAACTGTAAAGTAAAATAGTTTCCTATTTTATTCTTTCTTTGTTTTCTCTCCTGTCCACAGACACTTGTTACGTGCTTTCATTTGCTATAATCATGCTGAACACCAGCCTCCATAACCCGAACGTGAGGGACAAACCTGGAGTTGATCGCTTCATCTCGATGAACCGAGGCATCAACGAGGGGGGCGACCTGCCCGAAGAGCTGCTCAGAGTACGTCCATCCTCACACTGTTTGTGACTCCCTAAAATCATCTGGGATTTTTATTCACAAACTTGTCCTGTTTGATAATTTAGAACCTTTATGAAAGCATAAAAAACGAGCCTTTTAAGATCCCAGAAGATGACGGTAACGACCTGACACACACCTTCTTTAACCCGGACAGAGAAGGCTGGCTCCTTAAACTCGGTAAGCTTCTGGCTTGGAGATCTTTGTGCCTTTTTGTCTCATTTGTGTCAGCTTTATTTCTGATTTAATGCATCTTTTAACGTATAAATCCATGGTGTGCTGCATAATTTGTTCATCTCTAAGGCTTTGTGTTATGATGATCTTGTCTTCCTGTCTCCGAGGTTTGCTGCCTCTTTGCCTCCACTTGAATGATCACCTCACTCTGTGGTGGTGGTTTATCATCACCATGGCATGATGGTGGAAGACAGACTCACTGCTTTGTGCTGTGGCAGTCTCAACATCTGATTTTTTTCTTCTGCATGACGGGACCTACCTGTGATCAGTGTCACTAATACAATCTCTGTCCCCTCTTCTTCCTCTCTGTTTGTCTCCCTCTAAACCCTCTGTTTCTTTTTGTCTCTGCTTCCTCCCTGCAATTTCCATCCTCTACTGCTGCTGCTTGTTTTATCAGGAGGTATGTACTGAAAGAGTGTTTAAAAAGTTGTAGAAAATTTGTAGTCGTAATGGTGATTTGGTAGAGCAGTATCTATTTTCTTTGAGTTTCTGTCATTTCTTGTCTTATTTGGATTTTTCTTTCAGGAGGAAGAGTGAAAACCTGGAAACGTCGATGGTTCATTCTCACAGATAACTGCCTTTATTACTTTGAATACACAACAGTAAGTCTGTTACATAGAAAAACAGTTCTCATCTCCAAATTAAAGAGAAGCTCACTTTTTCCCAAGAAAACCAACTAATAAGACTCGTTCAGAAAGTTGACAAGTACTTTTTTAAATGACGAGGAGCAAGGTTTTTTTAATTGTTTTTCAAAACTTCTTTCCTAATTCACATGTTGACATTAAGTATCTTAAACTGACACTGGTGTTCTTCACTAACAGGATAAGGAGCCTCGAGGCATCATTCCTTTAGAAAACCTTAGTATTCGTGAAGTGGAAGACCCGAGGAAGCCTGTAAGTTACTACTTTCGCCAAACATTGAATTTCATGATCGAGTGCGTGAAGTGAGAGTTTTATCCAAACGTTCTCAAACAGAACTGCTTTGAGCTGTACATCCCAAACAACCGCGGCCAGCTCATCAAGGCATGTAAAACGGAGGCCGACGGGAGAGTGGTGGAAGGAAACCACATGGTGTACCGCATCTCTGCACCCACCCCAGAGGAGAAGGATGAGTGGATCCACAGCATCAAGTAAGGAGGAGACAAAGACTATTTTTAATATTGTGGCAATAACTTCTATCACATTTTGTTATTTGAGACAAAGTTCAATTTTGTTGTTTCTATGTTTAAAAAAGAAAATTACCACCTAGTGTGCTAAAAGATAAAAAGTGGATAAGTAGAATTAAAAAAAAATTACAGAGAGGAATTCATTATTTTATAGTTTGATACATATGGAATCAAATAATGAATTCATTATGGGTTTCAATATGTCAGTTGTCACTTCTAAGAAACACTAAAATTTAAATTGTCTGGGAGTTTACTGGAGCATTTGAAACAATTTTTGACAAGGTTAGAAAGTTTTCAAAAGGTTTTTAGGATTTGTGAAGATTAGGGGAGTCATGATACCAGTCTCTCTCAAACCAAGTACGAGTACTTCAGTTTGGGTACTCACCGATACTGAGTACTTACTGAGTTAGAACCTAAACATTACACAAGACTTTAAAAACATATACAGTATATATATATATATATATTTTTTTTTATTATTAAGAACAAGAGTTCTCTCCTTCCCAATCGGCCTACAGCCTCTCTGACTGAATCAAATCAAATATACAGCATGACATATATCGTTAAAACATTTTAAAATAAATAAAAGTAGCAAATAAGATCAGCTTGTAGAAACTTCTTAAACATGGAGCTGACAAATTTTTCATATGAAATGTAAACTGTAATATGTTCAGTGGAGTATTGATACATGTTCATATCAGTTTTGTGTATCAGGGGATTTTGTACAAGTGCTTGTAAAAATGCTGATATCTGGGACACTACTAGTGAAGATTAGTTGTGTTTAACGACACGCAATAAAAAATAAACACAAACAAAAATAAATGCATGGCTGATTTTTCCCCACACCATTTTCTGAGTATTAAACTGGAGGATCAAAGGAAAATGTGGGGTGTTATCTATATCTACATGAAATTTTTTTAAAGGGATCCCTGACTAGTTGTAACATTAGACTTTTTGATAAACATTTATTTTAACTGTAAAATAAAGACTGTAAAAATACTGTAGGCTGTTTAGTTTTTATAATTTTTAAACTAAAAGTTTAAAAATATATTACACGGACGGAGCCATTTTATTTACACACAAAGCATTCTGGGTAAATGATGACGTGGATAGGTCCTCTGTGTGAGTGAGTTATATCCACCCTGAAGATTAATCTTGGACAATATCTGATGATTTGCTCTTTTAAATGAAACCAGAGAGCGTTGACAGAGAGGAGAAGGTAGAAATAACTCAGTCTGTAACTGAAAATATAGATGGAGGACAACAGAGCTGCTTCATGGAAGAAGAACCTCAGCTTAGCCTGTTAGCTTTAGCATTAGCCCCGATGCTATCACCATATGTATTAGCTCAGCGCTACACATTCTCCTCGTCACTGAGGTCCTCCATCCACGTGACAGAGAGGGAAACACAAAAATGACTCAGGCTGCAACTGAAAATATGGATGAAGGACCTCAGTTTAGCTTGTTTGTCGCGATAGCGCTGAGCTAATACATATAAGGCAATATAATGTTGTCGCTAGCGTGAAGGCTAACAGGCTAAACTAGGTTCTTCTTCCATGAAGCAGCTCTTTTGTCCACCATCTATATTTTCAGTTACAGTCTGAGCCATTTCTACCTTCTCCTCTCTGTCAACGCTCTCTGGTTTCATTTAAAAGAGTCGATCATCAGATATTGTCCAAGATTAACCTTCAGGGTGGATATAGCTCGCTAGCAGCCTCGCACCGATGACCTAGTTGATGTCATCATTTACCCAGAATGCTTTGCTTGTAAATAAAATTGCTCCATCCGTGTTAAAATATATTTTTAAAAATTTACAAAACTAAACAGCCTACAGTATTTTTACAGTCTTTATTTGATAAACATTTATTTTAACTGTAAAATAAAGTCTAATGTTACAACTAATCGGGGATCCCTTTAATAAATGTAACTGTAGGCAAAAACAGCTGTTTCATTGAGGTGGTCTTAATTTTTACTTACAGATACGTCTCCCAACATTTTTTGAAAGCTTTAAATTTGTGTTTCTTGTTTCAGATCTGCGGTTAGTGTGGATCCCTTCTATGAAATGCTTGCCGCCAGGAAGAAACGTATATCATTGAAGAAAAAAGAGGAGCAACCCTAGATTACTTCCACCGTTCCCTCCTCTTTTACGTCATCCCAGCACCTCACTATGTTTAACTCTTCCTCCTCAGATGCCTCCTCTTCCTGTTTCGAGGCCTCCTGTTTAACTCGTCCACCAGACTTTGAAAAGCTGCGATCAGAGACCTACTGTTGCTGTCACGTGTTCTGCTGCTGTTACACCTCAACACACTACATCTAGAGCACAAAAAGCTTCTCTTGTCTTCTCTCCTTCACTCTGGTTTTAGTGGACTGTGAAGTGTCTTCTGGACTTTATTCACACTAGTGCTGATCAGTTTTTTGGGACACAGCAGTTGCTGTTTAAGGCTTTTTTTTCAACCACACTGACTCCAAATTTACTCACTTTGAATGCTTGAAAGGCTTTTTTTAAGATGATAATTTTTAGTAATCTTCACTTGCAGGTGCACTTTTTTTCTTTTAAAGCATGATAAAACTTGTAAGCTTCTTGTATTTGACCTTTAACACAGTATTTAACGTTTCCCTGGGACTCTTAAGCTTGTGGCGCACTTACACAAAACTTCCTGAAAAGTTAGTGCAGATTTAAAAAAAAGCCTTAAAACAGTTTTTTCTCACATTTATCTGCATTACTGTGAATATAGTTTCCTTTAAAGTAGCAGCTCAATGAAGTTTTTGACGTTAATTTTCTTTATTTTTTTATTTTATTTTAATTTTGATTACATAAAACAATGTGAATCAAACACTAAATGTTTGTTTAGTGCAGGCAAACTGACTGTCAGATTGAGAGATGCTCATTTGTTGCTGTAGTCCTCACATGGTTTAAGTTCACATCCAAGTTTAAGTGATGAAACATCTTAGTGAAAATAACGATGTATATTTACACAGGATTGTATAGTGGAGTTGTGCAGATATCTGCTTGTTTCTGCTCTCTACATGTACTTTAGCATGTTTCTCAACATGTTTGAATGCTAGTGGAGTAGAACATTGTAACCTAAACTAATTCTTCATCTTTACTGAGCGGTTACAGCATGTCACGTCATCTTCGTGTCCACAAAGTGAACGCCGTCTCACATCTGTAATAACGTCATACGAGTCGGATCTGTTTGAGTTTCATGGAATGACAAAAGGCAGCTCATTACGATGTACACTTTTTTTTGTAAATAGATATTGGCATATTTGTTTACGAGACGCATAGATTTGATTTGTTTACTTTTTTTTAAAATCTCTATTTTGTACGAGCTATTGTTTAACTGCATGTTGATGAACGGAGGTGTCGGTCCTATTGCTGACCATTCTAGTGCACTGGTTTGATAAGTGTTAGTGTTCCTCGTTGACTCGCAGGGACTGAGTTTAATGTTGACGTTGATCCTGCTGGTTGCTTTTGAAATTATAAATTTAGTCATTTCATTTAACTTTTGCTTATAGTTTATGGTTTTCTCAAGTGATTCCTACTTGTCAAAGCACAAAGCAGAGATCAGTCACTTCCAGCTAAAGTAACAGGAACAGGAAGCTGTTTACAAACTGAGACTGTCAGCCTCCTTTATGACAGTGATTGGAATAAAGTGAGCATTAAACAAGGAACACTAATGAACCTTAGAATATTATAGTTAAAAACACTTAGAAATGTTTAGATTTGAGTCCAGTTCATAAACTACTAATCTGATTATTTGTGTATTAGATTGTTGGATAAACAATGGTATACGGCACTTTATCATGTTTGGCATTTTTAGAGAAAGAAAAATGCTGCTAACTCTGACTGATTTTGATTTTCCACAGCGCCCTCTGCTGTTAGTTGCACACACTGCAATAGTTACAGAAGCAACAGTTTCTCCCAGCAAGTACGGAGTTTATTGAATCGCCTGTTTGGATCCTGTGAAATCAAGCTGAACAAAATTGTTTCTGTTATTTTAGCAGCTTTTAAAGCCACTGCAAAGTAATCTAACTTACCTAACTACACCGTCACAGTGACCATCCATAGCTTTTAATGTTTTTTTAAGTGCAAAGTTGCCAAAAATAMAAAAAAAAAAAAAAAAAAAAAAAAATTAAGGGGAAAATGAGCACTGAAATGATCACCTTGAAAGAGATTCTGGTTTCAGAGGAGTTTCACTGTGGATCCACACTTTTCAGAAACTGTACCTTGTTTGTATTTATTTATTTTTAGTTTATGTATGTGAGATGAATGTGGATTCATCATCTGTAGCAAAAGCAAAGGAAAAACCACAATACAATGGTACCAGTAAAGTACTGTGTAACAATAAAAGGTAAACTGACACATCATGGAGTTTTTGGTCTTTCTTTTCTGCATCTGGCACAGAGTGTCTGAATCTGTGCAGAATACAATAAAATCTCAAGACTATCAAGGCATTCAGTATCAAAGCTTGGTCTCAGGTCATGGGTCCAGAAATCTTTGAGTTGTGTTTTTAACTTAATTTCCAGCTCTAAACAAGTTTCTGTTAATGTTGGATGGTCTTGTGGTTAAACTGCAGCACATTTGGGACAAAATGAAAAACAAAGTTGTTAATTTTTTACTTTTATTTACACACATTTAGCAGAAAAAAAAATAACATGAACACGCCTGTAAAGTTTGAACCTTATTAAACTGTACAATAACAAACAAGGCCAGATTTACAAAAGACACAAAATGTCAGAAGTTACAAACTAAATGTAAAAATTGTCAGTGGTTTTTGCAGTGTTGCATTAAAAAATACATAAAAGTTGAACGAAAACGATGACAGAAACACTAAATGTTTATAAATACCAACATAAATTTATTTTAATTCTACAGATTCTTTGGTAAATTAGCTGTATGTTTAATGGAAACCTTAAAAAAAGAACTCAAAGAATTACCTATGAGTTGTCAGTATCCTACCTGCTGTAGTCAGCAGGTAGGATACTGACTGCTGAGTAATTCACTATAACTCAAAAGGAAATACAAGCAAAAAAAAAATCCCTTTTATGTCTTATAAACAATATGACAATATGTCACAATCAGCACTTGTTCGTTTAAAATAAAACACTAATTTACAGTTACAGAAAAGAACTTCTAAGACCCTGCAGATTATCTGTTAATACAGATTGAACAGAATACAAATGTCCTTTTTTATCATTATTTTTGAAAAGTCAGATTAAAGAAAGGCATCCACTCGGATTCTTTAAAGTCATTATTTTGTCAGTCTTTTGATATCTGCAAGTGTTTTGTTTTTCCTTTCAGCAGAGAAGAACTTCAGTGGCAGGGATCGAACGGGTACCTGGCAACCCCTCCGTGGAGCTCCACCTCTGTTTCTGACCAGGTGATGACGTCTCCTCGAAGGTGGCTGCCGCAGGAGGCCAGGCTGTGGACGTCACTGGAGCTCAGGACGTGAGACCACATGTTCAGGTCTGACATCTCACCCACAAATGATTGAGTGGCGTCAAATCGACCTCCCAGAGTGTCCTGAAGGGTGGAGACACAGGGTGGTTATAGTTTCACTTTTGCTCAAGATGGATTTTTTTTTTCCAAACAAGGTTTTTCGCAATGAAAAAAAAAAAGCAATTTCTCTAGTTATTTCGATAATTTACATGTGCTTTTTTTTTCTTTTTCAATTCCAAGAAATTGATTTATCTGTTTCATGTTGATAGTTAAAATCTGAGTATTTGTTTTACCTGTTCCTGTCCCAGGACGAAGACCCCTCCAGGTTTGATGGAGCGCCAGGGTGAAAGGTTCATCCCGGACCCCCTCTGCACTCCGTCCTGATAGGCCTCCCACTGTCCGTCCCTTGTTGTCCAGGTCACACACACATGATGCCACTTTCCATCGTTCAGAGACAGGGGTAGCGATGCAGCCTGCGGATTAAATATTTTTATTTATTATGGATGTTATCAGCAAGAAACAACAAAAAAAAGTTAAGTTCAGGTGCCTTTAAAAAAAGATTGGTTTCATAACTTCAGCAGATAAACTTATTTGAATTGAGTTCTTATTGATAAGCTCTAATTCTGAAGCTAAAGTGATTTAGTTACTAGTAATGAAATTTAAACAAAGTGATGGCAATTATTAGTTCAAGATTTAACAACTGAAGTAAATATATATGTTTCCAAACAAACAATTTATACTTTTATTTTTAGATTTAAAAGCAGGAATGTGACATTATGAAGTGAACCTGAGTTTTATTGGTACTCATCCATGTGATGTATCTACTACTACAACGTATCTAATCCATAAAAAATTCAAAGTAATGTTAGGTTTTCTAATATTAAGTATTTTATTTTGCTCAAATCTAACAAATACCCGAGCTTTTAAATTTCAAGTTTAAATACAAAAGTATAAAGGAGTTTCAAGGCAACTGATGAATATTAGATAAATATCAGTCAGGTTAAAGTCCCGTCTGATTGGCTCCTGTAACGTTTCTCACCTTGTCGTCGATCAGCAGTTCGATGGGGTTGTTCTCCCACTCGATGAGCACTAGCTCGTTGGCCTGACCTGGTGCAGAGTAGGAGAAAGGCGTTCCCAATCCTGACCCTCCCACGCCTGCCTTCAGCCAGAGACACAAAGTCAGAGAGAAGATCTCCTGCATCAGAGTCTTCTTCATCCGGCCGTACATGTAGTTGGTCCTCATCGGGAAGCTGATCTGGAAGGCGTCGAGGTTCTGGGACTTTTTCCTGTTGGATCCTGTTTAAAAATAATACAAACGAGATTTTAAGCTTTGTTATTTTTGGTTAAAAAGGTGAGGTTTCGTGTTACTGATGATATCTGACAACAAAATCTTCTTGAGATTTTATATTTTTTAAATTATAGCTGTAAAAAATTCTACTTAAGGTTTGAGTTCTTTAGTTTATTTTAGTAACTGATCTATTAACATCTGTGATTTTGTTTTATTTTTTGTCTGAAGGTGATGAAGAAGAGTACCCTTGAGGTGCAGCTGGTGGAGCATCGTTTCCAGTTTGTTCGAGTGGAAACCCGTTCTGTATGTATGAGGAAGATAACTATGTCTGCCTGCTTCATTATTACTGATGTCATCATCATCATCTTCATCTTCATCATCTTCCCTCTCCTCGTCGTCCTCATCATCCTCGTCATCATTGTCATCGTCCTTATCATCCTCATCATCACTGTCATCCTCATCATCACTATCACTGTCATCCTCACCATCACTGTCTTCATCATCACTGCCCTCATCATCACTGTCCTCATCATCGCCACGATTACCATCCTCCTCCTCATCGTCTTCATCACCGTATCTGCCAGCATTTTTGCCAATGTCTTTGTCGTCATCCATGTTATCTCCTCCATCTCCACGAGGGGACACGCCACCGCGGCGGTCCGGGCTGCCAAGGGCGGCGGTGTGGCGGTGCAGTTGCTCCTCCAGTGTGCTGATCTTCCTCTGCAGCAGCTCCTTCAGCGAGCTGGAGTATGCAGAAGATGTGTTCCTCTTCTGCTGAGGAAATTAAAAACAAAAAACTTTAAAAAAAACTCACAGAGGGATGAAAAGTCTAAAACATCGTGTTGGCCTTGAAACAGTTCCAAGTACGTAAACTTTATTTCTCTGAATACACAAACATCACAAAGTGCTTCACAAAGAGTAAAATTACTAAAAGCAATAAAAACAGAACAAATATAATCAAGAACAATTTAAAAAACTGAAAACAAAACTTAACTAAAAGCCTGTCTGAACAGAAATGTTTTTAGATGTTTTTAGCATTCCAGAGCCTTGAGACCACCACCTGAAATGTTTGATCTCCGTGGGTTTTGTAATGGGTTTGAGCAGGGCCGGCTCTAGCCAGTTTGGTGCTCTAGGCAAGATTTCAAGATGCGCCCTTTGTGCAATTTTCTAAATCTCATTGCCAATCAAGACCAAGATCTCAAATTCCTGGATAGAGAGAGCAGCTTCAGAAGGTCCAATATGTACAGTATGTGGGGACCTGACCATGAAGTGCCCTAAAGATCAAAATGACTCCTCAACTGCAGATGGAGCCAGGACAGGAGTAATGTGAGCTCTTCTGTTGGTCTTAGTTAATAATCTTGTAACATAAATAGTTTCTGAGCTGGGCTGCTGCTCTGTCCCTTTCTGTATTTCTCATGCCTTCCGATGTCTGTTGTTTTTTCCCCCCTTTTCCACTCAGGTAATCCAGGCTTTGTCCAGGTGCGTGCCCTGATTACAAGTCTGTCAAGGGAGATCACCGTAATTACTCCCGATCTTAAATACCGCCCCCCTTATGAGTACCACATCCTCTGCACAGCTTCTGACAACAGAATGAAGAGGACAATAACCACAAGTTCAGATCTTACTGTGTAACACCCAAACACCCAACAGAACTGAAAGTAAATGTGTCCTGTTAGGACACAGTGATGTTGTGGAGAAACATCTTTACAGCTGATGTCGCCACTCTCGTGTGACCGTCTGAGCGACTCTTGCCAAGGGAGTGAATGGCTTTGTGGGATTAAGCAATTCATTGTTCTTTTGTCTGACGTACTCAAAGGACATACCGCTTTGGGACGACAACAACCAGCCTCGTGACAACAGCATTAATGGGTCCAAATCCACAAAGGTACATCAGAAGCCATTATTAACTTTACTCAAGTGGTTTATGTTAACACTTTTCTCCATTGGAACACACTTTCTAGGTTTATTTAAATTTCCTCTCTTTGCTCACCTGCAGGTTGTTCAGCCTCTCCTTCAGCGCCTGCAGCATCCTCTCCATCTGCTGTACTGATGATATGCTCTCCTCCGATGTCTCCTGTTTGCCCTTCACTCCATCAAATCGTTGCTCCCCCTCAGAGTAAGGAGGGTGCGAGTCCGGTATGAGGTTGCCATTTCTGTGGTGAACCTGCTGGTTGGCGTAGTGCTTACTGTCGGCGTACCTGTGATGATGGGCTCTGTGGTGCAAGCTCATGCTGTGGTGCTCATCGTAGAGCGACATGCCCCGTCCAACCCCCTCACACAGCGTGAGCTTGGCCGTCAGCTCTCTGAGGGTCTCCCTCTGGTTCAGAATGATCTCCTTCTGTTCAATGAGGCTCTCCCGCAGGTGGAGGATGGTGGCTTTGGCCTCTTCGCTGGCTCCTACCCAGCTGCCAGGCGGAGCATTTTGCTGACCTGGTCCACCAGGCCCTGCTGACCCGGTTCCTGGACCTGCTCCTGGACCTGCTCCTGGACCTGCCTTAGTGAAGCAGGACGGGTCTGCTTCCACAGGGAGTGGCGTGCACACAAAGCGGGGGTGGGCTCCATAGTTATAGTCTGTCCCTGAAGTGGCAGAGGTAGGGTTGTTTAAAGAAAAGACTATGAGGAGGAGGGTCAGAGGTAGAAATGTTGAGTTCCTCATGATCTTCATCCACAGTTCAGACAGAAAAATGCTTCAAAATGTATGATATACAGAAAACATCAAGGGGTTTTCCATTCCTAAAATGTTCTCTCATCAATGAAAAACTGGGGTCAATTTGTTCTGATCTGGACTTTGAGTAATTTCCTCTTCACAAAAGTCACCTGTGAGACAAAATATTAGATATTAGACAAAGAGCTGACAATAGAATCTAAAGCCTAACCACAGTGCTAACTGAATATTAATGCACTTACAGTTTAATGCAATCAGAATGCTTTGTTTATTAAGTTTTGTTAATTAAAAAAGTTCTCCACATCCAGGTGGAACAAATGTCTAATGTAATTTCTCTGCTGCTCCTCTCTCAGATTTTTAACTAAAGGCTGTTCTCAGCAGAAAGGGACAAGGACTACAGGCTTGACGTCTCCAGACCCACTTAGGATCAGTGTCTGACCGTGGATGTTCCAAAACGACCAGAGTCCTTCCAAATGAGGATTAGTTTCAGTCAAAGGTGAGACATACTGACTGGAGCAGCCAATGTGATCACAGATGCTTGGGTTGTTTTACCTTATTATGGGCTCAAAAGAGCCTGTTAATGTATCTGGACCTGTGTGTGAAATGATGAAATGATAATCAAAGCCTCCTGAGACCAACTGTGTCTTCATTTTGAAGATATTAGTTTCCCTATTCTTTTCAACATAGACCTGTTGTCCTTATTTAAGAACACTTTCTTTTTAGTTTTTATCTATTTTTCATGTCTATGAGGTCCTTCTGGTACGAAAAACTACAGAAATTTAAAATGCCTGCCAAACAAAAGTGTGAGACTCAGGAGAATCAGGCGAATAGCCTCAAATAGCAGTATATATTACTGTATAAAAGGTTTAAACTCCAGTTTTTTTCAGGCTTTCTGGAGGTCTTTAAAGGGTTTTTAGACTTTGCTTTTTCACTCCGTTTTTGTCCAGATTGTGAACCTGACCACAACAGCATGCAATGTGATTTTAAAAATATATCACAAAATAAGAGACCAGTGGGGGGTCTAAAGATCCAAAACACAACAACAGTGTCCGAAAGACACCAGTGAGACTGTGAATGAAGAGCAGCTATGAACCTGACACAGGACCTGAAGAAGATGGATTTAGGTTAGGTTTTCAGCTTTTGAGAATTGTCTTGTTGCTGAAATACTTTGTGTCAAATTGCTACTTTTTTCATAGATTCAAATATTTTCCAAGCAAATTCGGTCTTATAACAGGTTGTAAAGTTACCGGGTATCAAGATGCTAATCAGCTTTCTAGTTGGTTTGATTTTAGGGCAGCTGTGGCTACACTGTAGTTTGCCATCATCAGTGTGTGAATGTGAGTGTGAATGGGTGAATGTAAATGTAAAGTGCTTTGGGGTCTGGAGGGACTTGATAAAGCGTTCTATATGTACAGTCCATTTATCATTTAAAAGAGTCTGGCTCCAGTACTGTACTGAATGTATACCCAAATACTTACAATTATGGATAATGAAAAAAATCTGACCTCTGTTGGGTTTTTGTATTATACAGGGTCGGCATTTTGAAATGGCGCACACAATGTGGCATCTAAACTGCACAGACCACCTGTTGATCTCAATGACCGACCTCTTCCAGGTGAGTGTCTGCATTGAAAGTTCATACATGAATCACTGAGATCCATCAATAATGGAACAAAGTGGAAAACATCCAGTGGTCTGTTGTTTTAGTTTTGTCAATCTTTAAAGTGTGTCTTACCCCACTGTGAAAAGATAACTCCGCCCCAAGGCGAAATTTGAAAAATGCATCAAAGTGGGTAGGGGAGGGGATGTGGGTGGGGAAGGGGGGGTTAGAGAGCTGAGGTGTGGCCAGGACGACAGAACATGACAGCTAGCATTAGCATAATTGATGCTACATGGAGAGTGACCACAGCGACGCAGATAGTTACATCTCTAAACGGTCTGAGGTGGAGGATTTTTCACCCCCCTCCTCACCAGAAGCAGAGAGAGAGACTTGATCAAGTCAGCTCAGTCTTGGACTGACTCGTGTTTTCTCCCTGGATCAGGACACGGTGCGCTTTACCGCAGCCTCGGCTGAGCTCTGTCCGCCTCACACCACACCAGCCCCGGACAGAGGAGGTGTAGCGCTCCGCGACAGCCTGACAGAAAAAAATAAAAGCACACAGCTGCAGCTGCTCACAAGATCGCTAGTTTAAAACATGAATAAAAGTGTTTGGTCTTCTTTGACTGAAGTTCGGTCCAGTTCGGGCTGTTTCTTCATTTCACAATGACGAGATGATCCCGGACACACAGCTGTCCCGCTGCGCCACGCTCTTTCTGCCTTTTTTTCCCCCTCCTCCCCTCCCGCTGTGCAGGACGTACAGCGGGCTGGTGTGTGTGTGTGTGTGTGTGTGTG